GGGGGTGCGCCAGGAGAGAGAGAAAAACCAGAGGGGCAAGACGGGTCTCTGTGAGGCCCAGGATGACAACCCAAATCAAAATATTAGCTCTGATATCTTGGTGTGGAAATAGCCTACATTCCCAATGGTATTTTGCTTTACAAAGTAATTTTCACTGATTTACTGGATCTTATTTAATCCTTTCCACAGTTCATGGGATGTGGGGGTTATTAGTGATTATCACACTTTAGTGGGGGGCTTCAGGGCTGGAATAAGGTCAGTTGATGCCCTAAGAACAGCCCCACTATAGTGTCCCTGGCCTTCCCATGGTTGAACAAAAGGAGTCTAAGTAACACTCAACATTGTGTCTTACTCCAGGCGACAGAAATAAATGTGATCCCTGAGACACCCTCAGACTAAACTGAAAGTTTAGTCACTCACATGTCAGATAAAACTAATTTTAATAATGTTGATTAAGGTTGAACATAGCAATTACAAAACAAAATAAAAAATAATCTACTAAATTCGAAGGTAAGCAGTGAAATCGTTAAAGGGCATAATAATTGGGGGAACAGAGCCGAGGAGACCCCATTCCCTAAGTGCCTAAAACCATATTTATTTTGTTTAGTGGTTAATCCAGGGTGGGGAGGAAAACTGTGGAAAGAGATAGACTTGAGGTCAGATTCTGTTTTCTAACCACTAAGGGTAGAACTCTTATTCTGCAGTCCTACTTTATTTCCTCTTGTAATAAATGGAAATACCTGTCTGTAAGGGGTGTTGCAAGGATGACAGCGCACAAAGGATAATACTGGCCATAAAGAAAAAACAATTTTTCTCTATCTCTTGACAGAAAAGGAACTTGGAAGTTAAGGTACTTTCCTAAGATGATTTAGGGCAGTATTGCAAATGGCTAGGGATTAGGGATAAGAAAATGTAAGACAACATTTCCATTTTTAAGAATATCAACTGAAACATGTAAATAAATAATTTTAATATGATAGAGTTTTATAACTGGTGCTGTGGGATTAAGTGTAATGCTTAATTTTTGTTTTGCTTCCCCCCATTTTTACTTACATAAGTTTGCATACGGTAAAATTCACCCCTTTAGTGAACAGTACTGAGTTTTGACAAATGTATACAGTCATATAACTACCACCACAGTGAAGACATAGAACTGACCCATCATCCCTGTTGGATTCCATGTGCTTCTCTGTAAAGTCCACCCCAGCCTGGAGAAGCAGTTGATCTGTTTTTCTTCCTTGTTGTTTTTGTCTTTGCAAGACTGTCATGTAATTGAAATAATACAATTTTAGGTTTCTTATTGTGATGTTTCAAAAAATGCTTGAAACATTAAACCATGATAATGAGATTCCTCAAGCAGAGTATGAATAACAGACTTATAGTGTTCCTAGTGGTTTCTGATATCTAATTTTCATGTTCTTAGATGAGTTGTTTTTTTTTTTCTGGAGTAGGAGTCTCACTTTGTCACCCAGGCTGGAGGGCAGTGCCATGTTCCTGGCCACTGCAGCCTCAACCTGCTGGGGTCAGGTGATCCTTCCACCTCAGCCTTCCTAGTAGCTGGAACTACAGGCACACGCCATCACACCTAGCTAATTTTTTGATTTATTGTAGAGATGGGGGGTCTCACCAAGTTGCCCAGGCTGGTCTCGAACCTGTGGGCTCAGGCAGTCCTCTTACCTCGGCCTCCCAAAGTACTGGGATTATAGGTAGGAGCCACCATGACTGATGAGTTTTGTTTTGTTTTGTTTTTGAGTTGGAGTCTCACTCTGTTGCCCAGGCTGGAGGGCAGTGGCCACTGCTGCCTTGACCTGCTGGGTTCAGGCAATCCTTCTGCCTCAACCTTCCAAGTAGCTGGAACTACAGCCACCATGCCTGGCTAATTTTTTGATTTATTGTAGAGATGAGGTATTGCCAAGTTGTCCAGCCCTGGTCTCAAACCGGTGATTCAGGCAATCCTCTCGCCTCGGCCTCCCAAAGTGCTGGGATTATAGGCATGAGCCACCGTGCCTGGCCTCCGATGAGTTTTAAGTTGCAACTCTAAATCTTAGAATTCTTATTCTCTGCTTTTGAATTATTTACAGCAATATTTTGAAAACAAAGTTGATCTACTAAGAGGTAGGCACAAATTCTTTAGACTTTATTGGGAATTTACTTCTCCCAAATCCTCTAAGCTACCTCCTTCTAATTACATATATAAGCACCCTTTGAAATGCTTATAGCAGAGTTAGCTGCTGCTTGAAATTAACATTCATCAAACTTTGCAGGCTAGAACCTATTCTGGCTAGTGCTCTGGTGGGAACTTCAGATTTTGAGAAAAAAGGTGAGAACAGTCTGAACATAAAAACTGTTTTCACATGAGTTTCATATTGATGTTTATTAAACTCACAGGTTCCTTTTTTCCTTCATGTCTTCTTAGAGAGTCCTCACTTTGAGAGAAAACTCTGTGGGACTTGAGTATAGTGATCATGGCTGCTGCCTCCCCTTTGGGAAAACTGGAGGATGAGGTGCTGTGCTCCATCTGCCTTGAATACTTGAGAGACCCAGTTACCATTGACTGCGGTCACGTCTTTTGCTACCACTGTATCATTAAGGTCTGTGAATCTACTATGCGGCCATTGTATTGTTCTCTGTGCAAGACAGCTTTTAAGAAAGAGAATATTCGCCGGGTGTGGCAGATGGCCAGCCTGGTGAAGAACATTTGGAGGATGAAGGTGGATGAGGAAAGACAACCCAGAGAGGAAAGACCACCTGAACAAAGAGCAGAGAAGCTGTGTGGGCGACATCTGGAGAAGCTCCATTACTATTGCAGGGATGATCAGCAGATACTGTGTGTGATATGTCGGGAGTCCCAGGAGCACAGGCACCACGTTGCTGTTCTCTTGGAGAAGGCTGCACGGCCTTATAGGGTAAGAATCCCATTCCACCCCAGCTCTGTCGTGTAGTCAAGAAAGTTCTATGATACCTTCAGGATAAGGTCCAGTGTTTTATACCACTTTATTGAGGTATGATTAACATGTAAAAAGCTGTACATATTCAATATACAAACAAATTGGTGAGTTTGGGGATAAATACACACCTTTTGAAACCATCACCACCATTCAAGGGCATACATATTTCCATCACTTCCTTCCCAAGTTTCCCCCCATCCCCTTATTGTATTATTATTGTGGTAAGAACACTTAACATAAGATCTACTTGTTAGCAAATTTTAGGTATGCAGTACTATATTGTTACCTATAGGCATTACGTTGTATAGTGGCTCTCTGAGAACTGGTTTATCTTGCATTACTAAAACTTTGTACCCGTTGACCATAAATTCTCCATTCCTGTGCCCGCCCCCAACCCCTGGTGACTACAGTTCAACTCTCTGTATGAGTTTGACTATTTTACATTCTTCATATAAGTGAGATCGTGCAGTATGTGTCCAGCTTATCCTCCATGTCCATCCATATCGTCACAGATAGCAGGATTTCTGTTCTTTTTTGAGTTGGAGTCTCACTCTGTCGCCCAGACTGGAGTGCAGTGGCCGCTCCCGGCCACCGCAGCCTCGACCTGCTGGGCTCCGGCCATCCTTCCGCCTCAGCCTTCCAAGTAGCTGGAACCACAGGCGTGCGCTACCACGCCCGGCTAATTTTTTGATTTATTGTAGAGATGAGGGCTCGCCAAGTTGCCCAGGCGGGTCTCAAACCTGCAGACTCAGGCAATCCACTCACCTCAGCCTCTCAAAGCGCTGGGATTACAGGCTGAGCCACCGAGCCCAGCTTGGATTTCTGTTTTTTTAAGGTTGAATAATATATCATTGTGGGTACATACCATATTTTCTTTATCCATTCATCTGTCAATGAACATTTTGGTTATTTCCATATCTTGGCTGTTGTGAATAATGCTGTAAGGAACATAGGAATGCAAGTATCTCCCTGAGATCCTAATTTCACTTCCTTTGGATAAATACCCAGTAGTGGGATTGTTGGACCATATAGTAGTTGTGTTTTTAGTTTTTGAAGAACTTCTATACTGTTTTTATAAAAGTTATATCAGTTTACCGACAGTGTACCAGGGTTCTCATTTCTTTACATCCTCATCAATACTTGTTATCTTTTGCTTTTTTTTTTTTTTTTTGAGTTGGAGTCTCACTCGGTCGCCCAGACTGGATTGCAGTGGCCGCTCCCAGCCACCGCAGCCTCGCCTACTGGGCTCCGGCGATCTTTCCGCCTCAGCCTTCCAAGTAGCTGGAATTACAGGCATGTGCTACCACGCCTGGCTATTTTTTGATTTATTGTAGAGATGAGGTCTCGCTGCCCAGGCGGGTCTCGAACCCGCGGGCTTAGGCAATCCACTCACCTCAGCCTCCCAAAGGCGTGGGATTACAGGCTGAGCCACCGAGCCCGGCTTATCTTTTGCTTTTTTTAAAATAATAGCTTTTCTAACAGGTATGGGATGGCAGTTCAAATTAGCATGGAAGGTTCTTGGTAAAGTGCTATCCTTGAACTGGATAATACAAATGGTTTATTTTCCTATCTTTATAATAGTAACTCTGTCCCATTGCCTTGAGGCATTTGGATCAAGTTGCATCAGCCATACAGAATACTGGCACTCCTGATAGCTCTCTTAGTATATGGTTTCAGATTGTGTGTTCTCTAGCGCATCATTGTAAAAATATTTTTGAGGCTATTGCATCCTGTATAAAATGTCCTATGTAAATTTTCTTTCTGCATTTACTCTTAGGGAAAATATCCTCTGAGATATCAGTATGTTTTGTCTTGTCTGCTAAAGAAAAATTATACAATTCATTGTTTCCCCTTTCTTCTTGGCTGACAGGAATCTTAAAACCAATGTAGTCATTTTTAAAATAATTAGGAGTTGGCATATTTACTTTCCTTTGCTTTTTGTGTTAATTTTCTATTTTATTACTTTTAATTGTATTTTTTAATAAAAGGGACAGTATAAATAAACACTACACCATAAGTCTCAGTAGTTATAATGGTAGTAGATTATTATTTTATCTCGCTTCTTGGAAACTGCTCTAAGCCAACATAGCACTTATTGTTTCTTGTTCATTAACTAGAATGGAAGCTGTTCCACAAGACTGTTATTATACTACATAGGGTTTGATGCTGTCAATTTCACTCTAGAATCACTTTTCATTTTGCTTTTATAATTGGGACCAATTTTATCTCCATCTTGAGACTAACCTTGTTTACTTCTATAGGGTAAAATTCAAAACCATCTGAAACTTCTGAAGGGAGACAGGGATAGGATTCAGAATTTTCAATCTATGGGAGAAGATGAGATTCAGGCTCTGCTGGTAAGAGAAGCCCTGAGTGAATGTTCTGTGTACATGTATGCATGTAGGGGCGAAGTGTTGTGGTATAGGTAGTAGGGGGCATAGAGGTCGGGATAGGAAGGGATATGTTGGGAGGGGGTGTTGATGATTGAGGAGGGGAAAGGTGATTGAAGAGATTCCTGTTCTGAAGTCATTCTCAGAAGATCTTACAAATATGCTGGTGTTTTCTAGCTTCTTAGAAGAAATTGCCTCTCTCTTTCTGCATTTACTGTAGACAAAATTCCAGAATCACAGACAAGACATTGTATCAGTGTTTGAACAGGGCCATCAGTTTTTGAGAGAAAGGAAACAATACCTGTTGGAGCAGCTGGTGGGGCTAGAGCAGGAACTCGCTGAAAGGAGGAACAGCCTTGTCACCAAAGGCTCTGAGGAGGTGGTCCGTCTTGGGACCTTGATCTCTGAGATGGAGAAGAAGGCTTGGTCTCCAACACTTGAACTTTTGCAGGTGAGGAACTAACTAAACTATATCTGAATCCTCTTGGTCCAAGCTGTAACATGGCCTATTTGTAAGTGATTTGGATCAGGAGTCAGGAGAGACAGGGTTTTGTTGTCATTACTGAGTTCTTTAATAAGTTAATCAGCTGTCCAATAGGTTTTAAGCCCCAAATTGCTGTGGGCAGGTGACTGTATGATACACAGACCATACAATGGAATATTAAGATCTGTACACTTATCAATATATCAAATAATAAATTTTTTTAAAGTGTGGTCAAATAGAAGGCCACAAAAATTCTGGAAATGACTAGGGTTTAGTCAGGGAAGGCTTCACAGAAGAGGCTGTTGATGTTGGCCTAGAAGAAAATGTAAATATTTGAATTATCAGAAAGGAAGGGCTGCATGTTCTACTTGGTGGGGGTAGGAGCTTATTGGTTAGAATTAGCTAAATGGATGTGATAATAAACTTGGTATATGTGTGGGCAGGTGTGTGTAGATGCTGAGGAGGATAGGAATAGGACGGTAGGAGGGGGGGCATAGAGTAAAGGGAGCTACTTTTCTAGAAGAATCAGATTAAGTGAGGAGGAAGTTAAAGGAAAGGTGAGATAGGTAACACGTGGCCAACTGAATAGCCTTGTAAGGCAGGCTGAGATTTCAGGCTTAACTTGACAGACAGTAGGAATCTTAATAGAGTATTATCTATAAATCAAGGATGATTTCCTGGAGAGGATAATCTAGAATTCAAATGGAAGACCTGAAGGGGAAGCATTTGTCCTTATAAACTGAAATTACAATAGAGAACAGTTAGACCCAAGCACCTTAGAATAATTCTCTGTTCATTCCTGGTGTGTACCCACATATTCCCCAAAAGTACCACAGTAGAGAATGGTGATGGCTCCTGAGAACCTTACTTCCATAACAGTGTCTGTATTCTCTTCCTTTCCAGGACCCAGGTGACGTAAGAAGCAGGTAAGTGTTGCTTGCTTTTTTTTTTTTTTTTAACCACTTGTGGTATCTGTCTGTCTGTCTGTTTCTGCTTTTTCTTAAACTTTGACAAAGGCTGGAAAGGTGATTATTTAGAGAGAAGAGAGGTCCTTTAGTAAGGTAAATTGAAAGGTATTCTATAGAATAAAGAAGATAATTCTAGAAAAATAATTGCCATGGAATCTAGGATGTCAATAGGCTAAGAGAGAAATGAAATAAGAGGAGATTATAGAATAGTATTAGAGAAAATGTAGAGTCCAAATTTGTTTCTAAAACCCAGTTTATTTTTATTCTTCCCATCCTGACGTGGTTCCCAGATTTCACTCCTGGGCACAGTTTCCTCCATGTTCTGTAGAGACATTTTATCATCAGATTGTCCTTCATGCTCAATTGTGATAGTTTCCTGCATTCTGACTGTCCGTAGGAAGAGGACACTAATATAGGTCATAGGGCTAATGATTTCTCTGACATGGGTCTAAGGAAACACTGAACGTTGACAGTTTTCAAAATTTTACCCACGTGATACACAGAAGCTTTGAACAGAGAAGAAAAGTCAGGCATTTTGGTAATATACAGTTCATCTCCAGAGACACCCAGGACTATTGGTATATACCAAGCATTTACTTTGAGCCAAACACTGGGTAGGCAGGGGGATAATAAGCTGGGTCAGCCAAGCATGGTGGCTTATGCCTGTAATTCCAGCACTTTGGGAGGTGAAGGCGAGAAGATTGCCTGAGACCGCTGATTTGAGACCAGCCTGGACAACATGGCAAGACCTCATCTCTACAATAAATCAAAAATTAGCTGGGCATGATGGTGCACACCTGTAGTTCCAGCTACTTGGAAGGCTGAGGTGGAAGGATCACCTGAACCCAGCAGGTTGAGGCTGCTGTGGCTGTGAGCGTGCCACTGAATTCCCGCCTGGGTAACAGACAGAGACTTCAACTCAAAAACAAACAAACAAAATAAGATGGGTCACCAGATTCTGGTAGAAATTGGACACCCATTAGAGATGGGCAATTATATAAGAAATGAGTATGATACAGAATAGGTAATACTTCTTGCGCTGAAGTATTTTGTCTGATATTAGCAAAGTTATTCCAGCTCTCATCTATTAGTGTTTGCAGGATATTTTCCAGTGCTGTAGCTTGCAACCTTTCTGTGTTGGCTTTTAAAAAATGTGTCTCTTGGCTGGGCAAAGTGGCTCAAGCCTGTAATCCCAGCACTTTGGCAGGCAGAGGCGAGAGGATTGCCTGAGCCCAGGAGTTCGAGACCAGCCTGGGCAGCTTGGTGAGACCTCGTCTCTACAATATATCAAAAACAAATTAGCCAGGCGTGGTAGTGCACCTGTAGTTCCAGCTGCTTGGAAGGCTGAGGTGGAAGGATCATCTGAGCCCAGCAGATTGATGCTGGGGTGGCTGTGAGTGTACCACTGCACTCCAGCATGGGTGACTGAGTAAGACTCCAACTCAAAAATAAATAAATAAATAAATAAATAAATAAATAAAATTTGTCTCTTATAAGCAATATAACATTTTGTTTTGTTTTAAATAAATCCATTCTGATGATTTATTATTGGGGTATTTAGTAATTATCCATAGAAAAATCATCATTTCACTCATATTTTCAAAATAATTTGTGTGGTTGGCTAAGATAATATGCTTAATTTATACATTTTAAAAATATTTCAATATTTTTCATTTTTTATTTTGTGCATTTCTACTTTTACCTCCTCTACTTGCTTGCCCTTTTATTCCCCTTGTTTGTTTGTTTTTTTTGAGTTGGAGTCTCACTCTGTCACCCAGACTGGAGTGCAGTGGCACGCTCATGGCCATCACAACCTTGACCTACTGGGCTCCGGCAATCCTTCCATCTCAGCCTTCCAAGTAGCTGGAACTACAGGCGCACACTACCACGCCCGGCTCATTTTTTATTTTATTGTAGAGACAAGGTCTTGCCAAGTTGCCGGGGTGGGTCTCGAACTTGCAGGCTCAGGCAATCTACTTGCCTCAGCCTCCTAAAGTGCTGGGATTACAGGCTGAGCCACCGAACCCAGCCTATTCCCCTTGTTTTTAATCTTTTATTTATTTTTTTTTTTGAGTTGGAGTCTCGCTGCAGTGGCACGCTGATGGCTACGGCAGCCTCGACCTCGACCCACTGGGCTCAGGCGATCCTTCTGTCTCAGCATTCCAAGTAGTTGGAACTACAGGAATGCACCACCATGCCCAGCTAATTTTTTTGATTTATTGTAGAGATGAAGTATCATCAAGTTGCCCAGGCTGGTCTCAAACCCATGTGCTCAAGCAGTCCTCTCACCTCAGCCTCCCAAAGTGCTGGGATTATAGGCATGAGCCACCATGCCTGGCTTCCCCTTGTTTTTAATAGATTTTTGTTTTTTGTCTATGAGCCTTCTTTTGCTATATACTGTAATATCTAAGATAAGGAAGTCTTGTTATTTCTATTTTCTAGATGTTTCAACTTTTTGAATTTGACTTGCTATTATAAGATTTGTTTAAGAAAGAGGATATTTGGTTGGGCATGGTGACTCAAGCTTATAATCCTAGCACTTTGGAGGCCGAGGTGGGAGGATTGTTCGAGCCCAGGAGTTTGAAACCAGCCTGGACAACATAGTAAAACCTTGTCTCTACAAAAATATAAAAAAATTAGCTGGGCATGATGGAGTGCACTTATAGTCCCAGCTTCTCAGGAGGCTGAGGTGGAAGGATCACCTGAGCCTAGGAGGCTGAGGCTGTGGTGAACTGTGATCGTGTCACTGCACTTCATCCTGGGCAACAGAGTGAGACCTTGACTCAAAAAAAAGGAAAGAGGATATTTGTCAGCGATATACTGGTTTTTTCTAATTGTTTGCTTTTTTTCTTCATAGTTTTAAGATCTTGTGATAAGAAAAAGGTTGTTGTTGTTTTTACCTTTTGGGCTTTTTTGAAACTTTTTATGTTATATGTTGAAAATTTCTGTGGCAGTTCCAAACATTTGAAAAGATGGTGTACTTTGTTTTCTTTTGATAGAGCTCTATGAGGTTTTCCTTAGTAATTGGTTATTTAGTAATGACAGTTATTTTATGACTTCTTGATATATCGTGGACTAAGATAAATTCCTACTAGCAATGAGTTTTTCCTTATTTAAAAAAAATATTCTTACAGGTTTTGTTCTTTATATTTTGATGCTCTTTTTTTGCATGTACCTTTAAGGAGAGTTTTTCTTAATTGTGGATTCTAATCTTTTAAGTAACATAAAATACCTTTTGTTGTTTTATTTAATATTTTTCTGCTTCACATTCAATCCTGTCTGATAATAAGATCAAGATTTCAGATTTCTTTCATTTTGTATTTATCTTATATGCCTCTGCTCCTTTTTAAATTTGTAAAATTTACATTTAAAGCTTTATCTTAAATTTTATTTATCTGGTATACAACCCCAAGTAATTTCTTTAGAAGTTACAGCATTAGTAGAATGTTTCAAAGCCCTTCCAAAACAGAAAAAGGCTTTCTTTCTGTTTTTTAACATCATACATAAATGCTATACTGGTAAGTATTGAATAGTTGGATGGTGCCTTTTCCTCCCTATATATCTTACTCTTTGATGCTGGAATTGACCACTTGGAAGTGTAGCTTTCACTGTCTGCTTCTTTGACCCATTGTTTGTGTGTATGTGCATGTGTATGTGGTGACGGTGGGAATACATATCCTTCTTTCAGTAGTTTCCACTGCGACTCTTCTCTCTCTAGGTATCCCCGGAAGAAGTTTTGGATTGAAAAGCCTATCAGTCCTGCCATCAAAAAGCGAGCAGAAGAATTTTCAGATAAAGTTCTTTCTCTCGAGAAAGGACTCAGAGGATTCCATGGTAAAGAAATGGGCGAAAGAAGAGGTTCTGAGAAAACCTTTTTTTCTCTGTGATACTTCCTTAGGTTTTGACTTTGACCTTGGCTTTCCAGAGTTCCTTGCTCTTGTTAGATCACTTATACCAGGTAGGGACACAGGGAGTGAATCTAAGTAAATCTAAACCAAGGAGTCTTTCCATATGACAGTCTAAACGTGTTCCCTAGACTAAGGTGGAATCATAGTCAGTAGGTTCCAGAGCTGGTAAAAATATTTTAAAATGAGGGAAAAGAATATTGAGTGACTAGGGAAAACAGTATGGCAGATCCTCAAAAAATTAAAAATAGAATTGACATATGACCTGGCAATCTCATTTCTGGGTATATAACTAAAAAAATAAAAAGCAGAATCTCAGCCGGGCTCGGGTAGCTCAGCCTGTAATCCTGCGCTTTGGGAGGCTGAGTTGAGTGGATTGTCTGAGCCTGTGGGTTCAAGACCCGCCTGGGCAACTTGGTGAGACCTCATCTCTACAATAAATCAAAAAATTAGCCGGGCGTGGTAGTGCACGTCTGTAGTTCCAGCTACTTGGAAGGCTGAGGCGGAAGGATCCGCTGGAGTCCAGCAGGTCGAGGCTGCGGTGGCTGGGAGCGGCCACTGCACTCCAGTCTGGGTGACAGAGTGAGACTCCAACTCAAAAAAAAAACAAAAAAAAACGGCAGAATCACAAGAGATCCTGTACATCTGTGTTTACAGCAGCATTATTCACAATAGCTTGTGGTGGAAGAAATCCAAATGTCCATCAATGGATGTTAAACAAAATGTGTTATATACATATAACAGAATATTATTCAGCCTAAAAAATGAAGGAAATTCTGACACATGCTACAACCTGAATGACTCTTTTGAGGATATTAGGTTAAGTGAAATAAGCCACTCACAAAAAGATAAGTACTGTATGATTCCACTTATATTAGGTATCTGAAATAGTCTAATTCATAGAAATAGAAAGTAGAATGGTGATTGCCAGAGGTTGTGGGAGGGGGAGATGAGGAGTTGCTAGTAAATGGGTATAGAGTTTCAGTTTTGTTGTATGGAAAAGTTCTGGAAATGCTTGCACAACAATGTACGTATACTTAACACTGCTGAACTATACACTTTAAAACAGTAAAGATTTAGCCGGACGTGTTAGTGCGCGCCTGTAGTTCTAGCCACTTGGAAGGCTGAGGCCGAAGGATCGCTGGACCCCAGCAGGCGAGGCTGCAGTGGCCAGGAGCGGCCACTGCACTCCAGTCTGGGTGCCAGAGTGAGACTCCAACTCAAAAAAACAAACAAAAGAACCCAGTAAAGATGGTAAATTTTGTGTTAGGTGTTATCACAATTAAAATTTTGTTTAAAAATATTTGGAGAATTAATCTCAAAGAAGTACCTATGAGAATGGAGAGAAATAGTGTGATTTAGGACCAAGTGTTTAGGACTTAAAGAACAGAGAATATGTCCCAAGGTACTATTTAATGAAGCACCAGGTGCTTCTGGTAAATGTTGGTATGAAGAAAAGTTGGTGAATGGATACAAACATACAGTTGTATAAAAGTTTTAATGTTTTATAGCAGACTAGAGTGATGTAGTTAGTAACAATATAAAAGGGTATTTCAGACTAGCTAAAAAAGAGTTCTTGAGTTGCCAATACATGGAAATGATAAATACTCAAGGTTATGGATACCCAAATAGCCCAACTTGATCATTACACATTCCATGCTTGTAACAAATACATATACATCATAAATATGTAAAACATGTATCAATAAAAGAAAACAAGGTAAATCTAAGCAGGCTTCTTCAGAAAAGAAATATTACCATGGATACCTGAAAGAACTGCTGTAGACTAAACAACTTGGGTGACTCCTGCATTAATTTCTCTATTTTACTTGAGCTTTTATGGTGCCCTGTCACCTTTTAAAGTTGTATTAGGCAATAGTAAAATAATTTGACCTAGAAAAGTGTGATATCAGGATCACTTTTTCTTTTTTCATTCTAGGAAAATTGATGAGGGATCTGGAATATAAGACAAGTGAGTATCTGGAGGGGGTGGAACACTGATGTTTGCCTCAGACAAAGCAAACTCCATTCATAATTGTAGTTTCCCTGTGAAGCTCCTTTACTTATGGATTAGCTCTTTAAACAGTCAGGTCTTTGTGGTGGTTAATGTATTTAAATTCTTTATCCTGACTCTTCAGATTTCAAAAGCATGAACCTTTTGGGGAAAGTTTTCCACAGCTGTAACGATCCCAGTCCCTTGCTTTTTCTTCTTACAAATATTATCATGCTGCCTGTGCCCTTACATTTTCTCCCTGCATTCTCTCAATCAATTTTCTTTTTCTTTCTTTTTTTTTTTTTTGAGTTAGAGTCTCACTCTGTTGCCCAGACTGGAGTCCAGTGGCACACTCCCGACCACCACAGCCTCAACCTGCTGGGCTCTGGCGATCCTTCTGCCCTAGTCTTCCAAGTAGCCAGAACTACAGGCGTGCAGTGCCATGGCCAGCTAATTTTTTTTTTTGTAGAGACGAGGTCTCGCCTAGTTGCCCGGGTGGGTCTCGAACTCGTGGGCTCAGGCAATTCACTCCCCTCGGCCTCCCAAAGTGCTGGGATTACAGACTGAGCCCGGCCAATTTTCTATCTAATAATAGTGTGAACATAAAACTGAATGCAATCTCTGTCCTGGTCCCGAAAGTGAGTATCCCACCATTGTCAGTAAAGTCCCAGAGCCTATGGGAAAACTCTTCTTTGATATCTTTTATGATGTCACATCTTTATCTTTTTTTCTCCACAGTGAAGATCATCATGAATTCTCAGACAGCCAATAACTGCCTTTCAGTGTCTCCAGATGGGAAGAGTATTATGTTCACTGGTTTGTGGATAAACAAATGCCAGCATGGTCAGCGATTCGATCCTGAGCCTGGTGTGCTGGGCAGTAAAGGCTTCACCTGGGGCAAAGTGTATTGGGAAGTGAAAGTGGATAGGATCTGGTGGGGAGCAGAGGAGGAAGAAGAGGCAGTGAAATGCAGGAGTAGAGCGAGAGGTGTGTTTGGCAGTAGTTATCTTGGTGAGTTCATAGGTATCACTGATGGCTACAGTTCTCCTGGATATAGAAATGAGAGTGAAGAGTTGGAGGAAGAATGGTCTCAGGAAAATGGAATCCTGCCAAAATTCTGCCTTGTAGGTGTAGCAAGAGAGTCAGTTGTGAGAAGAGGATTTCTCATCTTCACCCCTGAGGAGGGATTCTGGACTCTGCAGCTGTCTTCAGCTGGGGTTTCTGTATGTACTAGCCCTGAGCCTTTCCAGGTCCTGTCTTACTGTCCAAGGCAGATCGGGGTTGCTTTGGATTATGATGGAGGAAAGATAACCTTTACTGATGTTAGAACTCAAGAGTTTATCTATGAATTCTCATCTTCCTTTACTGGGAGAATTTTTCCTTTCCTGTGGCTTAATTGCATGAGATCCATACTTACTCTAAAACCCTGAGAAGTAGACTTCATGGGCACAGCTCTAGGTTTTTTCATCTATCCCTTATTATTCTACATCATTCTGAACTTTCTACCTCAGCTTAGACTGTCCTGCAAGTTTTCAATCTCATTAGCTGATTGGGGTCATATGGAAGAGTCGAGAGTCTCTTGTCCTCTCTGCTTTGTATCTAAAATGGGAATGAGAAGTTTGATCTGCTTTATCTACAGTGGAAATATTGAAATGTCTTCAAAGTATTTATTATAATGTGTGCTATGAGTCTTTTTCTTCTCTTGCCTTTGATTTGGTTTGGTATTTCTCTGCCACTGAGACAGAAGTAGGGGAAGGAATGCTGTGTCATGGAACACAGCATTCCTCTGTACAACCTCTGTACAAATAATTGGTTACAACATTCATATGGATTTCTTTTTTTTTTTTTTGAGTTGGAGTCTCACTCTGTTGCCCAGACTGGAGTACAGTGGCCGCTCCCGGCCACCGCAGCCTCGACCTGCTGGGCCCCGGCGATCCTTCCGCCTCAGCCTTCCAGGTAGCCGGAATTACAGGCATGTGCTACCACGCCCGGCTGATTTTTTAGATTTATTGTAGAGATGAGGTCTCGCTGCCCAGGCGGGTCTCGAACCCGCGGGCTCAGGCAATCCACTCACCTCAGCCTCCCAAAGGCACGAGATTACAGGCTGAGCCACCGAGCCCGGCTTCATATGGATTTCTACAGGGCCTTTCCTGTCACAAAATTTCTTGTGCCATTCTTCTCAGCATCTGGGAAAACAGTAAATATTTTGATGCAATTAATGCCTGATCAAACATTTGATCTTTATACATTTTGATATTTTATATATCTAGGGTGGGAATTGGTTTATTTGTTTATACTATGTTGTTATATTTTTTACAATATGAAGAGGGAGGGAGTTTTTGGAAATCACTTGGTCCTGAAGTCTTAAGTCAGCTGTGTTTTGACAGGTAGAAATAGATATTTAACTTAGATAGTAGTCCTAGCTATAAGCAGCAGAAAACAAATCTAGCTAATTTTAGCAGAAGGAAAAGTTGTTAAACAGTACTGGGGCATTAGAGTGCAAAGAGAAAGGGATAACTATGTCTGCCTACATGCAAATTCTGGAGACATTCTCTACCATGTTGCCTGAAAAAGCCAGAATAGGAATCAGTGTGGGAGCTGCAGCAAGAAGGAGGGGGAAATAGAGGAATCACGAAAACTTGAGGCAATTCCAGAATTGTCAGTAAATAAACCAGACACATCACACATGAGTACCAGCCAGTGTACTTGGGCTCAAGAGATGTGGGGAAATCTGCTCTGATAGTTTGGTTGTGTAAGAATGTTTTGTTGAAACATATGACCAAATGATACAGGATTTCCACATCTTATATCTAAATCCATCAGTGCAAGCAAGTAGGAGTAGATTGCCAGCTTTGTATACTCAGTTCTTCGACAGTGACAGACCAACTTACAATCAGATGTCTTCATATGACAGATAGCCAAGGGTTTTAACTAGTATATTCTGTTTTATCTCAGTCCGTGTTTAGCACCTTACAGGACCCTAGGAAACTGATTTTAAGGATTAAGGATGTAGAAGATATTCCAATGATTTTGGTTAGAAATGTGAAACAAAATATGAGTGAGTAGTTGTAGAACAGAGTCAGAATTTAGCAAGACAGTAGTGAAACTCTTCCCTTTAGACTCTTTTGCAAAGTCAAAGATTTACATTAATCAGATAATTATTAGATAAATAGAAAAACATCAGCAGCAAAAATGAGCTTAAGAAAACAAGCATGTCTGGTTCTGGCTCCACGGTTAGCAACAGGAATGAAAAATTATTACCTATTTAAAAGTGTCAGCATTCCAATTTTCAAAAAACCTAAATATCATTTTATTTATGTTTTATATATGTTGTGAAGAATTTAGATTTTATATTGGTTTGCAGGAGATTCCTGCAGAAAAATTGTTCTGTGTATTTGTGTTTGAAAAGAAAACAATACTATTTTCTTCTTTGCAGTGGAAGTTATAAAATATGTGCAAATAAAATACTTAACTGTGTACATCATGGTGAGTTTAGTTAATAACAATGTATTACACACTTTAAAAATTGCTAGCCGGGCTCGGTGGCTCCAATCCTGTGCCTTTGGGAGGCTGAGGTGAGTGGATTGCCTAAACCCGTGGGTTCAAGACCCGCCTGGGCAACTTGGCGAGACCTCATCTCTACAATAAATTAAAAAAACCCCCAAAATTAGCCAGGCATGGTAGTGCGCACCTGTAGTTCCAGCAACTCGGAAGGCTGAGGTGGAAGGATCGCCGGAGCCCAGCAGGTCGAGGCTGGGGTGGCCGGGAGCGGCCACTGCACTCCAGTCTGGGCGACAGAGTGAGACTCAACTCAAAAAAAAAAAAAGAAAAAAACTCCAGCTCCAAACTATGCGAAAATAGCAACATACAAATTAATCAAATTGTTAAATGAAAAATCACAAAAATCTTTTAAAACTTGTTTATAGCCAACCAGTTCCTTGTAGTATGTGATGTGGGTGCATTTCAATATGCTTGACTTGGTGTAGGGTCAGTGTGGGAGTGGCAAGAGTCTCACAAAATGTCCTTGCACCAGAGCTGAGGGTGCTCAGCAAAGGCAGCTGCATCTGGGGACAGTCAAGGAGGTCTTCCAGTGGAGGCGATGTTTGCGTTCAGCCTTAAAGAGGGAGAAGTGGCCTCATGGTGGTGGAGGTAGGAGATGTGTGAGGAAAGGTACAGAGAAAGGAAAGCACATGGAGAATTTAGGGAAAAGGTAGGATATTTGAAATGCAAGATATTTTGGACTTAGCATGTGGAGAACAGAAGACGGGCTAGGATGATACTGAAAAGGTCGACCAAATCTTATGTACCAGGCCTGGACTTTAGCCTAAGGACAGTCAGGAGCTGTGGAAACGTTTTAAGAAGAGGGTGGTCGGTGGCTCAGTCTGTAATCCCGCGCCTTTGGGAGGCTGAGGTGAGTGGATTGCCTGAGCCCGCGGGTTCGAGACCCACCTGGGCAGTGAAACCTCATCTCTATAATAAATCAAAAAATCAGCCGGTCGTGGTAGCGCAGGCCTGTAATTCCGGCTACTCGGAAGGCTGAGGCGGAAGGCTGAGGCGGAAGGATCGCCGGAGCCCAGCAGGTTGAGGCTGCGGGGGCTGGGAGCGGCCACTGCACTCCAGTCTGGGCAACAGAGTGAGACTCCAACTCAAAAAAAAAAAAAATTGCCAAGAGAGCAGATATTAAGTGTTCTCACCACAAAAATGATAAGTATATGAGGTAATGCATATTTTGAATAGCTTGATTTAGCCATTCCGCAATGTATACATACTTCAAAACATCATGTTGTACACCATATATATATGCAAGTTTTGCTTGTCAAAAGTACTTTAACATAATCATCATAAAGAGAATGGAACATTTCACTTGTTAATGTGACAGTAATAAAATTTCAATAAAAAATGTTGACATTTTTGTCATGATTCCTACCTGTCACATACTAAAATGTTGAACCATCATATTTTCTACCAAACTAATTGTAGACCAGACTTGGTGGCTTAGCCTGTAATCCCAGCACTTTGGGAGGGTGAGGTGAGTGGATTGCTTGAGCCCGTGGGTTCGAGACCAGCCTACACAACTTGATGAGTCTCTACAATAAATTAAAAAATTAGCTGGGCTTGGTAGCACATGCTTATAGTTCTGGCTACTTGGAAGGCTGAGGCAGAAGGATCGCCAGAGCCCAGCAGGTCAATGCTGGGGTGGCCATGAGTGTGCCACAACACTCCAGCCTAGGCAATGGAGTGAGACTCCAACTCAAAAAACCAAAAAAACTAATTGTAGCACATCTCTCTCTGGAGTTGTTGAAACCATTTAATGACTAAGAAGTAGCATTCTCCTTTATATTCTAATTAGTTTATGCATAATGCTTGGGGAAAGATGGCTCTCCATTAAAAAAACAGGATGAGTCATTTCTATGGCTTTTATTTATTTTTAATTTAAAAAATTTTTTTGCTTTGGAAAAATATTTTAATGATTTCATAAGATTGTACCATATGAATGAATTGTATTTTATTTAACCGGTATCTATTGTTGGATAGTTAGGTTGTTTATAGTTTAGAAATTGTGTTTTTAAAAATAAGAACTCAGGTGTACTTTTCTATTTTTGCCTTATATAATTTGTAAAAAAAGGAAGTACAATAATAATGGGTAACTCCCCCATTTCCTTTAGCTTCCAATGATTAAGCCCATAATGCTAACCTATGAGTTGTGCCAGTGATGAGTTTAGCAATAGACATGTGACCCAATCCTCACCAATGAGTATGGAGAGCGATTCTGGGGACAATGTCCTACTTTAAAAGAGATACACCAGGAAGAGAGACTTTCTGCTATTTCTATGACTTTTAAAGCTCAAATATATACTATTCTAAATCTTGGGCCAGGTGTGGTGGCTCACACCTATGATCCCAGCACTTTGGGAGTAAAAGGTGAGAGAATTGCCTGAACCCAGGGTTCAAGATCCGCCTGGGCAACAAACATGGCAAAACCTTGACTCTACAATAAATAAAAAAATTAGTCAGTCATGGTGGCATGTGCCTGTGGTCCTAGCTACTTGGAAGGCTGAGGTGGAAGGATTGCCTGAGCCTAGCAGGTCGAGGCTGTAGTGGCCATGTTTGCGCCACTGAGTGACAGAGTGAGACTCTGACTCAAAAATAAATAAATCTTGTGCTTTACTGTCAAACCAAATTTTAGCTTTATGGGTGTTTCCATTTTAGTACATATAAAGTGTGATAAGGGGGGACTCACAGAATTTCTGGTGGGCCAGAAGCTAGTTTTTTAATCGTGTATTGAGAACAGTGTTCACAGTCATGTCTCCTTTTAAGACAGTTGCCTCAGCCACTGCTGGTGCTACTTGGCTTAAGAACACCAGTGATAAAGACACCGACACTGCTGCCAGAACCACTTTCCCTGCTGTCTTTAGAAACTAGGTGTTGC